TGAAACCTGCCTGGTTTCCTGCCAGCTTACCCATGGGGCTTCCAGGATCTGTGGCTCCAGCTCAAACAGCTGTTAGGTGGGACTGCCCCAGAGCCAGGCTCCAGTCATTTTCACAGAGACTTTCAAAAATTTTGGTTTTCATTCCTAATTGGAACAAAACCAGATTTCAAAATATCTAAATCCTCTGCAAAATAGAATTAACTCCCCCTTGCTCCCCCCGCACCTCTAGCTAGGACCCAGAATCTGGTTAAAAGGTTCACATAAAGGGACTTGCAGTGTTAAAGGGACCTAAAACATCACTGCCACCACCAGGGGACCAACTGACAAGGGGGTGTGGCCAGTGGCAAGGCAGATCAGGAATATATTGGTTAAATATATTCTTCAGGTAGCCTGTGTTGAACATCCTATGGAGCTTGAGCTGGCGCCCCCTGTCCAAACTCCTGAGGGATGGCAGTGTACAGACATTACTCTCCCATAGCAGTCTATGAATGCTCCCTGGAGTGCAGCACACATCCCATTGCAGATGAATGAAGATGCTAGTTTAGAATACAGTTTTGAATCATGGTCTTCCTCTTCTTCATCTCCCACGGCTGGCTGTTTGGTACGAAGAGAGACTCATTTTCCCTGCTCTGAGGGAGAAGAGACGCTGGTAACTCAATGGGGAGCACAGAGTGGTCTGATGGTTCCCACGTCTCCAGTCCAATTGTCAACACTTACTGCATTGTGTTGCATGTATCATGTGGTACAGAAAATTCCTGCTGCTCTATGTAAACAGGTGGCCTTCCCAGCTGTCACTAAAACAAAATTCACATGCTATTTAGGGTCAAAACTCACCCCCTTTCCTAGGGCATGGCTTTATTAACAAATTAATGCAAAATAAACAATATAAACTCTAGCACAAACCACCTCCCCATGTAACAGAGCACATACAGTGGCATTGTATTATTGTTCATCTGTAAAGTCTCATTGAATTGAAATGAGAAACTGGATGAGAAATTAAACCAAAATCTCTTCGCACCATCTTGAGTTGGATTTTTGAGATGTCTTGGTACTTTTTTTAAAAGGGTAGGGGATAACACAGAGTCTTGGCCAAATGGTCTTCTAAACAAAGTGTGTTCCAATACCTAAGGTGATTGATGAGTTGTTGAACTCGTGCAGTCTTCTTTGTTAGCTGTGTTACTGCGCTATCAGAATGTCATTATTAAATACTTCGAACAATGCTTTGTCAGGGACTTTATGCATTGCATGATCTTGATAATATCTTCCCTATCAAGATTGTGCCAAAATTCTGCCTTGTTGTGTGCAGGTGTGCTGGACTGATGAGGGCTGGATCCTCAGCACATCCAGGCACGACAAGGGAAGGATATAAATTTACCCCTCCACTGAGCAGTGAACTAGGGTCCTGGCTACAGTGCCTGATGGGACTCCATGGTCCCAAAGGGTGTTGGTTGATGACTTGGGGGTGTGGCTAAGGCTTTTTCTACACTACAGAGTTAGGCAATGTAAGGCAGCTTATGTTGACCTAATTATATCGGTGTCTACACTAGAATGCTGCTTCCACTGAAGTAAGTGGCCTGCTACACACTGACATAACTCCACCGCCACGAGAGGCATAGCACTTATGTTGATGTAGTTAGAGTGACACAGTGTCCATGTAGAAAATGCGTTACTTACATTGGCTACTGGCTCTCATTCTTGTCAGTTTCATGGCTGCCTCTGGCTCAGAGCAGCAGCCTGGGGTTCACAGCTAGAGCCATGAAACTGACAAGAATGTCAGTTTCACTGCTGATTAGGCTCTATGCTGTAAAATTGAGCCCATCAGTGGGCTCACAGCTGCACCCCACCCCAGCTGTCAGTCGGGTGGCAGGCTTACAGCTGGAGCCCCCTGTGACACTGCACTCCATAATGTTTTATGGAAATATGGTTATGAGTGTGAATATAACATAACTGGAATATGTTTTATGCAAAAGGTCTCATGTAAGGTATCATTACAAAGCTTATAATCTACTGAGTGTGTCCATCCTATTTGTATGTATGTATCATACTTGTATCTAAAACTAGAAATATAAAGTATAACTCTGAGGTCCTATTGTAATTATGCAAAGTGTGGGCCATTTATGGTGGTTTAGAATCTTGATGGCTCCCATTGACTAGGACAATTGGTTGTAAGTGGTCTGTTTACTTGCAAACCTTCCTGGGTGTGTGTGGGCCAGCCCTGGAAGAATGAAGGCTGAGGTCTCACAGGACATGTGACCATGTCACCTGATACTGGAATCCATCTTAAACCTGGTGCTTTTCCATTTAGAAGGAGGGGTGGGGACCGAGAGAGACAAAAGATTCCCGCCTTGTGCCAAAGCTATAAAAGGGGGTGGAACAGAACAAAGAGGGTCCCAGTCATGAGACAGCCCCTGCTTTTCACCTAAGATGCCTGCTGGAACTAACAAGGACTGTACCGGGGAAAGGATTGGGCCCAGACTAGGAAGAAGTCTAGTCTGTGAAAGAAGCTTATTGGAACATCTGAGGGTGAGGTTTACCTGTATTCAGTTTCTTAATGTATTGGGCTTAGACCTTCATGTTTTGTTTTATTTTGCTTGGTAACTTACTTTGTTCTGTCTGTTATTACTTGAAACCACTTAAATCCTACTTTTTATACTTAATAAAATCATGTTTGTTAATTAATAAATGCAGAGTAAGTGATTAATACCTGGGAGAGCAAACAGCTGTGCATATCTCTCTATCAGTGATATAGAGGGCGGACAATGTATGAGTTTACCCTATATACACTTTATACAGAGTAAAACGGATTTATTTGGGGTTTGGATCTCATTGGGAACTGGGTGTCTGGTGACCTGCTAAGTAGTTTTTGGTTTGGGGGCATGGACCAGAACTGGGTCTGTGTTGCAGCAGGCTAGCATGTCTGGCTCAACAAGGCAGGGTTCTGGAGTCCCAAGCTGTCAGGGAAAACAGGCTCAGAGGTAGTTTCAGCACATCAGGTGACAGTCCCAATGGGATCTCTGTGACCGAACTCGTCACACCCCCACCACCTTGGGGTGACAGCTGGAACTATGAGCCCAGTGCAGGGCTCAATTTCACAGCATGGAGCCTACCAGCAATTAAATTTATATTCTTGTCAGTTTCATGGCTCCAGTTCTGAGCCAGAAGTAGCCCTGAAACTCACAAGAATGTCAATTTCACTGCTGGTAGGTTCCATGCTGTGAAATTGAGCCCAGTGCTTGGTTCACAGCTCTGGCTATTGCCTCAGGGCAGGTGGGAGGCTCCAGCTATGAGCCCCGCACAGCTATCAGTGCCCCACAGAGTCTCAATTCAGTCTGTACAAGCGCTCGTAGGAAGGACGCACACCACCGGCAGAAGGAGGGCAGTATGGACACCAACAGCCAATTGAATTACTGCTGTGTCTGTAGGTCGACCTAATTTTGTAGTGTAGACAAGCCCTAAGTCACCAGCAAACATGCTGGCCTCTTTTAAAACAACCTGTACCCTATATTCTGTCCATGGGCTTCTGCTGGGGAATTTACAGGCTCCAACACACTTTTGGCTTCTGGGTAGAGAGTTATTCAAAGTCGATGGCCCTCCTGGTAGAAAACCTATTGTTCTGCTAGAGTAGAGCCATTCAGTGTGGATGGCCCTCAATTGCTCTGTCACAGCTTTCTAGAAATAGTCCCTCCACTGGATATGTCTACACTATCCGCACAACAGTGGCACAGCTTCAGCGCTTGCAGCTACACTTTGTAGCGTAGACACTTACTACAGCATCAGAAGGGATTTTTCTGTCACTGTAGTAAATCCACCCCTTTGAGGGGTGGTGGTAGCAAGGTTGATAGAAGAATTCAGCTTCATCTACAGTGGGGTTAGGTTGACCTAACTACATTACACAAGGCATGAAACTTTTTACAGCCCTGAGTAATATAGCTAGGTATACCTACATTTTAGGTCTAGACCAGTAAGGGTCAAGTACTTGCAACAAAATAGGTGCTCTAAACCACCCTGAATGTTACAGTCAAATTGGAGGTTGAAATATAACATGATGTTCACAAAATGGAATTCATAATTTGACATAGACATATTCCCTCTTCCCCTTCTCTTCCCCATCTGTGGACAAATCCGCATTCCCCTTTGCTCCCTCTCTACAGAGGCCAATCATAGTTGCGGTACTTGCACTCCATTGTGTGTAAGGGCACAGCAGGGCTAGCAGCTCCATGTCCATCTTCTAAGGGCTGACACAACAGCTGTCTGAGACACAGTGCCTACTGGAGCGCCCCTTGAGGTGGTACATCAGATAAGGAATGTGCAGAGGATTTAAGTGGAAAGGTTAACAAATTGGAGCTCTTTCCACAAAAATGATCAGCAGTGAAATATTTAACCACGTTGACATATAAACTATTATAATCAGATTTCCAAGTCAACCATCCATCAAGATGAACTAACGTAGTTCATGGCTCACTGAGCTATTGCTTCAGACTGTCTGCAAACTCAAAAAAACACTGCCTCAGTTTACACTGTTGCTTTCACAACCAAATCAGCTAGAAATGTAATTTTATTTTTGGCAGTTTTGATTCTGAAGCACAATTCTGTAGTCAGGGCAGGATACTGAGGCAAATTCTGCAGCTGAAGAATCATGGAATACATGAGGCTGTGGTTACAAATGTATTATCAGGCCCCAAATTCTTAGCTGTAAAAATAAGCTCAGTTTCTTGAACAGTATTAAACAAGTGAAAATAAATTCAGGATCCCTTCAGTGTTCATGAATGTCCTTCATTTTCAGACCATTGTAGTCCAAATGTATTCAAAGAGTTTATTTCTAGTTTTTGAGATGATGCAGAAATGTTTCAAACAGAACTCTTTCTCCAGGAAGAAAGAATAGTTGTTTCTCGAAGTCTCATATCAAGAAATGTCTTGTCCAATCAATTTCTAATGTTCAAAATTAATATAATATATACCTTAATTAGAAAATAAAAATCTACACTGTGCTGAGACTAAGCATGAGAAATGTCATGCCAAAAGCAGCTTTTTGGAGAAAGTACAGTCTAAATTCGGGCTTAGAATGGGAATTCTCTTTCATTCTGGACTATGGAGTCACTTCTGAATCCGTAGGTAATATGTAACTATTTGTATATGTCAGGTTTCAGAGTAGCAGCCGTGTTAGTCTGTATCCGCAAAAAGAACAGGAATACTTGTGGCACCTTAGAGACTAACAAATTTATTAGAGCATATGCTCTAATAAATTTGTTAGTCTCTAAGGTGCCACAAGTACTCCTGTTTTATTTGTATATGTATGTATACATTTTATATGTGCATGCATGCATGCTAGAAGTGTTCATTCTAGCAGCAGTTCATTTTATAGCAAAAAATCAGCCCTATCATTTACACTCATTATTTATTCAAAAATTTGTGAGTCATCTACGTATTTCCCCTTAATGTCAAGATTTTTAATATCTGTGTACCAGTTTTCTGAATTCTGTAGGATATATTGTCAAGAGTTCTCCTTAACAAAACTTTATTGCACGGGACAAAATCCTGTTATCAGAACAATATTGCCGAGTGGGGAAAAATGCATCAAGTCAAGCGGAATAGGGTTCGAATCTGTGTGTATACAAAGGAGCTGGCTTATCAGGATCAGGGTAGGGTCAAAGGTGCTCAGTTTGCACTAAGCAGAAATTTGTCAATGTTAGCTGAAGCTAGGCAAAGGGGCAACATTAGGGGAACAAACTGGTGGAATCGTGGTGAGAAAAGCAGCCAGACAAGGGATAAAAATACCATTTGAACCTAGCTAGGATAGGGGAAGAGCCTCACATTGCCAGGCATGCTCAGCAGCCCATATGGAGTCCCACAGTCTGGACAGGCTCTGTGCTTGTTGCGCACAAGAAGCGAGGCCCTCCTCAGCTGCAGTAGTCGGTGCCTGTGCCACAGCTAGTCTGCCGCACCCCCAAAGGCTGTGAGAGACTCCACAACCGAGGGCAGGACCTAGGGATGAAATGCTTCTTCCCTATTACCCCACCATGGGGGTGGGGTCTCCTTGCTCGTCTGATAACAGAAGAAACAGTGGGGTTGAGTGGCCTCAGATCTATAGATCTGGCTGCCTGCTCCAAAAGGGAGTAATTGTCCTCCCCTGACTGTATTTTCATTGTTGTGCCCCCTTTTGAAATTGAATTTTTGTTTTAATCCAGGCTTGATTATTTCCACCAGAAATAGTAGGCGAGGTATTTCCTCAGGAAATTCTGTACCTAAAAAAGGACATTCCTGTATATGTACTGAGATTCTTAAAGAAAAGCATTCTTTCACTACATGCAGGCACTCCTCACAGAACCACTGGAGAGTTGCTGTCACGGTGTTTATACGATGTTGTTATAAACATAAGGTGGTATTTCAACTTTGTTCATAAATGTTATGTCATGATCTCTCTCTCTCTCTCTCTCTCTGTGTGTGTGTGTGTGTGTGTGTGTGTATAAATAAATATATAAAAACATTTGGAGTATGTCATTTTATGGGTGCTGTCTTCCATTCTCCTTACCAAAAATATGTTTCAAAAATGTGCTTCAGAGGCTAAATTCAAGTGAAGACCTTTTTGCAAAACATGATTTCAGGATAGAGACTATAACTCATTGGAAGCATTAAGAAATGCACTTTGACTGGAGCTTAGTGTGCCAACATTTCATATTTTGGATAAATGACTGGACGTGTGTGAAGATGTTTCAACTAAATCTGATTCTAAGAAATGTCGAGCTTCATTGAAGTTTAAACAGAGCTGAATGGGGTTTAGATTACAGAAGTTTGGACTATGGTTTTAAAAATGGCTAAAACACTTTCTAGTTACTGTACAAACTGGGCAAAATAGAAGAACAGCCCCCCACCACTGTATACCCCATGAAATCAATAGATTGAAGTTTTAAAGTGTTTTATTTACTGTTACATGTTTGATTCTCACAAATTGCTGTCATGTTGCTTTTTATTTCAGGACTCCGAGTCCCTTGACACCTACACCCAGAACACTCTCTCTGCATTATACCCGCCTTTTGAGGCCACAGCTGCCACTGTCCTGTGGCAGCTTTTCAGCATAGTTGAAAAGCTGTATCGAGGAGATGGCCTCAGGTGCCTAATTGATTTCCTTGTCCCTGCCAAGAGAGTCTTACAGTGCATTCAGCAAGAAACCTGTGTAAGTATAGCTTACTCTGGCAAAACAGAGGCCTCCTTTGTTCCTGACTTGGGAAAAGAGATAAGATGGAATTTAATCTCTGATCTAGAGAGCTCTTTTAGTCTAGCAAATAAAATTTTGCAGGGAACAGTGCAAATTCTAAAGGTACCAAGGAGAACAGTGAAAGAGAATTATTTACCAAACTTTTTAAAACTGTGTCTGGAAAAGGAGTTAACTTGCAAAACCTGAACAGGAAACTAGCTGCAATCTACAGAAGCTGTTGATAGTAAAATTTGGGAAGGAAAACATGGTCTTCTTTTTAACTGATAATGATTTTAAACATCCCAGTGCAGGCACTGAAATGATAGAGGACCAAGATAAAATATTTGCAATAACAAAAAAATGCATAAGTCTGGAAGGTATTTTTAAAGGGAGCAGATATTGTAGCAAAGATATTATTGTGGTTATTTTCTTTTCCAAGCTGACTAAAATCCTCGCCAGTGATGTGTCTGGAGTATGGAGCTGGCTAGGGCTGTGCACTTGGGGTTCATGGCCGCAGAGGTTTAAGTCCTGAGGGGTGACATCCCCACTGTTGGGGGAGGATTTTTCCAGTGATTGATTGACAGACCATTAGAGGGAACCTTAGAGGACTTGTACTCCTCTGTCTCAGCACTCCTGACTGGCATCTCTGATATGATAGAGCTGTCAGGTAGTAGAGAAGTCAAGACCCAGAAGAACTACCATTGCATACAAATGGCAGGTACAGGCACCCTGTCAGCTCCTCCACACTCCAAATAAGTTATCTCCCCTATTTAAGTTTTGTAACTACAAGGACTCTCTTCTGGCCACCTTCTCTCCCTGCAGCAGTTCCTCAGAGCTGACTGCAACCCTAGTGAACACTGTGTCCATGATGCAGGAGAGAAGAGCATCAATCCATGCAAAGGAGCCCTCTGCTCTGTCCATAAACTTACCACATCCACAGTTTGATTCCACACAATGATGCATAGATGCAGCTCTCATCTGCCCCTACTCTGTATTCAGTCTCGGCATCCTCAGAGCTGGAATTATTTATCAATCACATACTGTCTCTTTTGGTGCCTAGCAGCAAAGAACTTCTCTTTATTACGGTGGTCCCAACCTGAAACATAATGGGACTGTGTCTGGATTAGCTTTCCTTTGAGACATGCAATAGAAATATTCAAAGACAGAATTTTAGGAACCCATTCCTGTAGAATGGGAATCAACTCCCCTTTCTCCTTTCCATTCTTCAGCACCAGTAATAGAAACATAGGTGAAATCTGATTTTTCATTTTCCCCAAATCATTGTATGCTGTTGGAGATTTTCAGAAAATGCTAATTATTCTCTCTTCTCTGGGTTGTCTTTTCCACCTGAGTAGTTTCATTTAGATTTCTGATGTGTTTACACTTGGTAAAAGAGTATTAAATACTTAATCCTCCCTCAGAGCTTGAGGATAGACTAGATGATCTTTTGAGGTCCCTTCCAGCCCTACATTTCTATAACTTCTGTGAAATTTGCTGTCCAACTGAGCTATTGCCTGTCTGGTTTCGTTCCATGTTTCATTTTTCTCCCCCTAGCTTGGCACATTCGGTGAGCTTCCTTTTGACTCTTTGGTGCATGATGCTCTTGAATCATTCTCTCCGACCTGTTTAAAATAATAATGCTGAATGGTTCTGGTTTTCAGCATTGTCGGCGGGCTGCATGTGCTTTCCATTCCTTTAGTTTTAAATTAAAAAAAAAAGTTGTTGTTTTTTACCATCATTAGCTTCTTCCAAAGGGAACTGTTGTTGTCTTTCTGCAGACCTCCACTGCTGCAACTTTTCCTGTTTGCCGCTAAATGCCATGCTCAGCTCATGAGAACCAGAGATAGCATTCAGATTAGCAGTGATGCTTGCTGGTGGGCAGGGAGGAAAGAAAAAAGAGGTGGATATGCTTTCCCAGTATTTTTGTACCTAAAAAAGGATTGGGGTTCTGTCTGAGGGTTGGGCTGTGTAACAAGATAGCAGATGTTAGAAACCTGCCTAGAACTCCTGAAGTTGGTAAGTGTGGCTCATTAACTCCTCCCAGGGTACTAGAGAGACTGGAGTGTGTCTCACGGCAGAAGTGATAGGAAGCTAAGATAGAAGAGATCCTGGAAAGGAAACTACTGGAACAGCCATACTCAGGCAGGAAGTGTGGGCTTACACTGAGATTTAGGTTGTTTGTTGTAAGTAGGGCTCCGTGTCTGTCACAGAGGTCGCAGAAGTCATGGATTCCATGGGGTTCCTCCCCCTCAATGGGTCCCCCAACTTCCCCACTGCAGCCTCACCCCTCATGATTCAATCATGAATATTTTTAGTATCAATCATGGACAGGTCAGGGGCCGTGATTTTTTGTTTTGTGCCTGTGACCTGTCCATGACTTCTACTAAAAACACTCATGATTAAATTGTAGCCTTAGTTATAAGCCAAGCCCCCAAAAGAGGGGTGACTCTGGACACTAGGTCAAAGTCAGTGTGTACTTTTGAGGATGGAGGTAGAGAATGAGATCACTGACATACTGTTCTTCCCATCCTTAATATGTCTTGCCTTAAGTCATGCTGTATTACAGCTGCATCTATAGACTTTTGCTGTGCTCAACTGAGGAAGGAATTGAATCACCATCCTGCTTAATCATTCCTTAGCTAGCTATTGGAAGTGCTCCAAAGTAGATATGACTTACGTAATGGATCGTTTATGTACTTGGTTTTCTTTGTTATGTTTTTATTGTAGCATATTTTGTTTTGATGTAGGGTTTTTTGCGGGCACTGAGTTGTATGTGTATTTTTCCATTAGGTGGGGAAATTATTCATAAGTCATTCTTTTAAATATATTTTTAGCACCTAGCAATACACCTCTACCCCGATATAACGTGACCCGATATAACATGAATTTGGATATAACGCAGTAAAGCAGTGCTCCAGGAGGGCGGGGTTGCGCACTCCGGTGGATCAAAGCAAGTTCGATATAACACAGTTTCACCTATAACACAGTAAGATTTTTTGGCTCCCGAGGATAGCGTTATATCGAGGTAGAGGTGTATGTCTTTTTTATGTTTGCATTTTATCATGTAGTTTTGCTACAGGTATTGGCTTTCATTTAACAAATGTCTTAAGAGTCTTACAACAGAAGTATTCTCAAACAAAAAACTTGAAGGTGAAGTGAAGATTGCAGGCATGTATCAGAGTTCTGAACATGTACTACCTCTATATGTGTCTGTCACTCACTCACTCACTCAGAGACTCAGGAAATTCAAAGTTAAGGTTGCACTTATAAGAAACCCAAATATTTGAAATTATGGAAATTCCCAATTAAGATAGCCAAACTACTTTAACTCGGCACTTGTAGAGATGTCAGGCTACCATTTTCCTTCTTTGCAGATGAAGTATCAGAAGTAGATGACAAAAAACGTAGGTTTTATAACTATCAGAGGGGTAGCCGTGTTAGTCTGTATCCAGAAAAACAACGAGGAGTCTGGTGGCACCTTAAAGACTAACAGATTTATTTGAGCATAAACTTTTGTGGGTAAAAAGCCCACTTCTTCAGATGCATAGAGTGAAAATTACAGATACAGGCATAATCATATATTGGCACATGAAGAGAAAGGAGTTACCTTACAAGTGGAGAACCAGTGTTGAAGGCCAATTTAGTCAGGGTGAATGTGGTCCACTCCCAATAATTGATGAGGAGGTGTCAATATCAAGAGAGGCAAAATTGCTTTTGTAGTGAGCCAGCCACTCCCAGTCCCTATTCAAGCCCAAATTGATGGTGTTAAGTTTGCAAATGAATTGTAGCTCTGCAGTTTCTCTTTGAAGTCTGTTTTTGAAGTTTTTTTGTTGAAGAATGGCTACTTTTAAATCTGTTATTGAGTGTCCAGGGAGATTGAAATGTTCTCCTACTGGCTTTTGTATGTTACCATTCCTGATGTCTGATTTGTGTCCATTTATCCTTTTACGTAGAGACTGTCCAGTTTGGCCAATGTACATGGCAGAGAGGCATTGCTGGCACATGATGGCATATATCACATTGGTAGATGTGCACGTGAATGAGCCTCTGATGGTGTGGTTGGGTCCTCTGATGGAGTCGCTAGAGTAGATATGGGGACAGAGAAGGCAATGAGGTTTGTTACAGGGATTGGTTCCTGGGTTAGTTTTTCTGTGGTGTGGTGTGTAGTGACTAGTGAGTATTTACTTCAGGTTGGGAGGCTGTCTGTAAGTGAGGTTTTATAACTGGTTGCATACCCACATGTCTCCAATATGAAGTGTTCTGCTTTGTCACCACACTGACGTTTTGCTTTTTTTGATGCAAGTGCTATAATTTTACAATCAGGAAGGTTTGTATATGGAGCCACACTGGCTCTGTGTCTAATGAAATTTAGATAATTGTCTAGGGCATGCAGTGGTTAAGGTCAGAGCTGGATGAAGGCAGGGGCTTTAGAGGCTGCATCCTAGGGCCCCAGCTCAAGGGGGGTCCCACAAAAATAAATCACAGGCAGCGATCTCCGGGCTGCTAAAAGGGTACTCAGGCAGGGTGCCTGCATGCTGTGGCCCCACGCCGCTCCCGGAAGCGGCTGGCTGCTGGCACATCTCTGTGACCCCTGGCAAGGGGAGGGGAGGCAGCTCCACCCCCGACACTGTCCCCACAGCTCCCAAGGGGCGTGCAGAGACGTGCTAGCAGCCAGCCGCTTCCAGGAGCGGCATGGGGCTATGGCAGGCAGGCAGGCAGCCTAAACCCTGCTGCATCGCTGGCCGGGAGCTGCCTGTGGTAAGCGCCTCCTGGCTGAGGCTACACCTCACTCCCCCTCCTCCACCCCAACCCCCTGTCCCAAATCAGAATCCCCTCCTGCACCCAAACTCCCTCCCAGACCTCGCACCCCCTCCTGCACCCCAATCCCCTGCCTCAGCCCCTCCTGCACCAAACTCCCTCCCAGGAAAAAGACTTGTATACAGGGGCCACACAAAGAGCAGGTGGCTTTTGGAAGAGAT